TATGTGAGTTGGAGTGCCCATGAGTTCTATGTCTCTTGATGATCATAGATGATTAGAAGATCTATAATAGCCTTATCATCTTTTGCTCATATTTTTTAGTTTCATTCTACAGTGACGGATTTTTTTGAACCTTGGGTGTATGAAGAAGGATGATCTCTGGAGTTCTTTTTATGATAGTCATGAGTTTTAGATTATCAATAATTAAGGGCGTCCATGCTTTACTCTTTTATTTTCGACCCTTGAGTTTTGGGTCTTCTGTGTCATGTTATATTTTTAGGCTTTTATGTTTTAACCGTTGTATTGAGTTTATGCCTTGTGTTGTGGGCCTTTGTGTGGTGGAACAATTTTATGTGATTAGGGAAATGAGGATGAGCTAGCAAAGTCATTCCATGCCTTTAGTTTAGCCCAATCAACCCAATTTGATCCCTTTTGACCACCCATTGACTAGCATCATACTAAGTTGACCGCCACACCTTCATTTGGACTTGCCACCTTATCTTTGAATTACCATGCCATCTTTTCACATGGCTTATCCCCCTTCTCTCTTTTCTCTTCATTCATTCATTTAATTCTATGTTATTTAAGAAAACCTTGATAATTGATTTAAATTGAATGCTTTTCATTAGAACCTTCGTAAAATCTGCATGGGCTCTTCAAATGCCGCCTTTTAATTCTCCTCTCATTTACGAAGCATGACCGGCCACCCTCTCTCCATTTACCCTTGGAGTGACTTCTTATACTGAAGGTTTTACATAACATGGCCTCTTAAAATTGGTGATTGATGAATGTTGAATGAAATTTGCCTGCTTGATAATTTATTCTTTCTTATGTGCTTTTAACCTCAAGAGAAGCTATTTTTGAATGTACGAGTTTCTAACCCTTGGATAAAAACTTTCGAAGGACAAAGGTTTTTCTGATGAATAAATTTTTGTTGAGGTCGAATTTAATTATTCTTGCTTCGCTTACCTGAGTCTTAAATACTCTACAACTAGATCTTTGTCTAAACTTGTCAATTCTTCTTAGCTATGTTAACGTTGACAAGTTTTGTTATGTTAATACTAAATTTACTAAATATTTTATATTCAACTAAATTATTATCTCGATTCACTAAGTGATGGGCTCATCTTAAATATCATACTAATACACCACACTTCAAGAATCTTTTATAAGCCTTTTAATCAATTCAGAAGGGTCATATTTATTGTTAAATGATAAAATTTATTGAGATTCATATCTTTTTCTCTCCATATCATGCCCACTTTTTCCTATAACACACCAAATCAAATCTCTTAGTACTTTATTATTTGTTTTCTTAAGAACAATTTTTTTTGCTTTATAATTATCCATTGAATGTGTTAACGCAAAAGTTACTTGTATAGTAGGTATTCTAGGCTTAAAACCAAAATGTTTGCGATATTGACAAAATTTTTCTAACTTTAGACTCTAATATTTTCTCACCTATCATCATGATATAACTTGTAAGATTGATTTCGTTTTTACTTAACCAAGATCTTAAACATATTTTTTGTTCTTAGATGTTGGTTTCAAAATATTTTCTAATTATCTGACTTCCTTTTATTCTTTAAAATTTATTTTCACATATTTTTTAATGAAATCACGATGATATTGATCATATGTAGGTATCTCATTTGGCCTTTATTTTTTCCTTATGTAGGTTCTTATGAGCCTATTCCATTTTGCTATGGTTTACCAAAATAATTTCTCTATCAAACATCTTATTTAATAATTATTCTTAGTAGCATATTTCATTCATTTTTTTGTTTTAATTTTCACTATAAAAATCATTGTTGTCTCTCACATTTGGGTAACATTTTATATTGATCAATTTTTCTTTTTGGATAACTTCACTTTGGTCCTTGATATTTGGGTCATGCTTATGTTGGTCCTTCTCTTAACTAAACCTTACCACCACCCCTATACTTTATCCTCCATTTCGCTCTCTATTTCCTTTGATGCAGAGATCACCTCTCCTCTCATGCTTTTAATGTTGGTTATTTTCAAAAATCTCTGATGATTCCATCTTACTTGATGATCTTAACACAGCTCATCGCCAAACCCCATCATCCTACTATGTGTCACTTGTCTATTAAGCAAAAACTAAAATAACTAAAATTTTAAGAGAGGAAAGAAAGAAAAAAAAAAATTAATGATGTTTTTAGGAAAGAGAGAGGAGAGAAGTAAAAGCAATGAGCTTTTGAGGAATTGGATATTTTGATCATAAGAAATTAATTTCATTCAAATCAAGGTTAAGAAGTTCCACTTCAACCAAACTAACAAAATATTATGTGCTGGCATAATTAGCCCCATTTGAAGGCTGAAAATCAAGTTTTGGGACCATAATCATCTCAAATTACAATAGAGATCGAAGTGTAGGAATTTTAAAAATATGAACTTCATGTGAAGTACGACTCAAAAGTGAGGGATCTATGCAATTTTACCTTAATTTTAATTAAAATTTTTCTTCTTTTCTAATATGTATAACCTCATCTAAGGCTTTAGATTTCATATGTCTTGCTTTTGCTATTTATTTTTTTCTTAATACTTAGCTCATTATATATGCATTTTTTGCTTTATTTGTTAGCCTTTTTGTGAGATTTATAATGTCCTTATAATCATTAAGCGTCCAATTTTATTTTAAAGTCCTTTACGACATATATTTTTGCCTTAATAATTTTTCGCATATTGTTTCTCCACTTCCCAATCTGTTTACACATTCTATTTTTAAACTCTCTTAGAAATTACTAATATCTTATTTAAAATTAGCCATCTTTTCCCACATCATTTCATTCAGCTGACAAATTCCAGTTTCTCATCAAGCAACCCATCATAAAAGAGCAACGAATTATCACTTTTCGAGTTCCATCATTTTATCATAAGTGAATTATCTTTAATAATTTTTTATACTCTTTAGATAAACATCCACAACTATTATTCCATGTCGTTATGTGTCAAATGTTATCGTAGAATCATCGAAAATTTTCTTCCAAATTGTTTTCTTATAAGAATACTATTTTTAACTTCGCATTAGCTATTGTAAAATCATATGCTACTCTTAGATTTAGAATAACTTCTGCATGCTATTAAAATCTTTTGATGCTCATACCCATTAAAGTTATTTTTCTTAATTATCTCATTTTCTCAGGTGCATGTTCTAATAGTTAACCAAAATTTGGTCTGCAAATTATCTTCTAATCAAACTTGTAAAACATAAACATTAACTATATATTCTATATTATAATGTCATGATTGGGAGTGTATGCGAGTTGAGACGAGCTTGAGTTTGGTTTTTTGTCAAAATGCAACCTGGAGTTCAGCTCACAATAATGACAACTGGCTCACTAGTTTGAGTTGAAAATCAAAGTCTCATGGGAGCTCACATGATGGGAGCTCACCATAGAAGGCATAAATGGCTAGAAAAGGAAAAGTAATACGACAACACACCAAAGAAGACATTAATGTGACCATCGATTGGCTAGTTGAGCTAGCTCGCGAGTTGATGAGCTGAGTCTAAACAAGTTTGACTTTGAGCTCGAGCTTGAGCTAGCTAATAAGTTCAGCTCATGAGCTCATTAACGAGTCAAGCTCGAGCCAACTCACGAACTAGCTGGTTCACTTTCATCCCTAGTCATGATTCTTTACTAATCCTATTTCCTTCTAATCCTTGAGTTCATGAATTTTCTTTTCTTCCCATTTAAAGTCCATTAAAATCATGGAGCAAATCAAAATTTTGATTTCAGACCAAGTAAAATCTTGCCACTTTTCTTTGCATCACTTATGTTAACGTGAGAACCGACATTTTCTTATAATTTATTTGGCATGCACTTATGATTACCATTTTATCAAGCTTTCACAATGGTTGGAGGTTTGAATGAGTGTAAGCATGCCAAGTTTGAATGAGCCTCGTTTCTTTTCTAGCTCAACTTAGTTGTTTTTTGTTCTATTTTGAGTTAGAATCATGCTTGATTATGTCTGAAAACTTTATGTACGTATTTAGTTTGCTTTAGGCTCATGTTCAACTTGAATTATATTAATCTCAATAACTAACATTTTATGCTTGGTGATTAGATCTAAGCCATTAGATTAATCTATTGACACGAATTTTCAAGCACACATCATATATATATATATATATATATATAGACACACACAAACACAATCGAATATGGTTATTTTTGTGTTTGGCTTTTTTTTAAAAATAAGCTTGAAAATTATTATTATTTTAAAAATAAGAAAGCTCAAATTATATGTGCAAGCTCGCGATATTTACTTAACAATGGAGTTAAATAAGAGCTACTTATGAAGCTATGAATAAATTGTTCCCAAATTTCGAGCTTTTTCCTTTGCATTTGTTAGATGTAACTTCTTGCTTTTGAGGGATGCCCATCCACGGATAAACTACAAATTCATATTCACTCTAATGAAGTTTAACATTAAGTATGCTTAAGGAATGATAATTAGATTTAGACTAATATTATCTTTTTTATGCTCACAAAATAATATAAAATTATTTGGATGATGGGTAAAAATGAAACTAAAAGCAGTAGAATTGAGAGTCTTTTTGGAATAGTTTTCTATCTGTATTGCATTTCAGACTGTTACCAGATTTGTTAAATGTGATGGTTATAAAAAAATTATTATCTAACTCCATGAAAAAAATAAATATTTATAAATCTCTTTGAAGTTTTTCAAAAAATCATTTTTCTTGCAACAACTTTACAATCATCTTTACCAAAAGCTACAACCACCTCAAACGAACTCCCTAAATGGCGGAGCTCATGCAAAGTAAACGAACATCATTGCAACTCATTTCAGTGAAACCGAAACCAATAATCACGACTTCTACCAATCCTTAACTAGTACTTTGTCAAAAACCCCCCTCTAAATGCTAAAATTTGTTACACAGATTTATTTCTCATGGCTACTGTTGGAAAGTTTAATGCTCACGTGAAGCCTATTTGTCTGTTTCTTGTTCTTGGTAGATTGATGCAGTTTAAATGGCAGTGTATCATTTCTTCATAACAGTGGCGCCATTTGACTGAGATATTTCCCTTCCTCCCTCTGTCACTTCAGTTCAGAGGATCATAAAAGATGCTCAGGCCGTGTGACATGACTGGTCTGATTTTGCTTCTTTTTTTTCGTTTGGCCTTTTTCATTTGGAATATTTACATGCATACTGCGCAATCCCTATGCATTTACATGTCCATCACTTAAAAATATAAAAAAATAAATGTTAAAATGTTAAAATAGTGGTATTTTTAATATGATATGAAAGGTTTAGATGGTATAAATGTAAAAAAATAAAATTTAGTTGTTAGATGTGTAAAGTTGAAATTGGGTGGCATGTATGTAGATGCTCTTTTTCATTTCTGGTATTTATTTCTGGTCTGTTAATCTCTCTCTATCTCTGCTACAAACAAGAATTACCTTATGCAGCAACTTTCTCTTAATAGTGGTATTTCTGAGAAACAAATTTTCTTTGACAGCAGCTTGGTAAGTACATATTCCTGTCTTCTTGTTAAATATATAATGTGGAAAAACTATAAAAAAAATACTTCAGGGAGCAAAGCAACTTGAAAATTGAATGTGGACAGTAACATGAGTTTTGTTTTTTTTGTTTTTCATCAGAAGAACTATATGCTTACTGTATATTTATAATTTGGTTATGATGCATGTCTTTCTGTTATAGGAGTTGCTTTCCCTTTATTTACTGGTTCCTGCAGTCTTATATTTGGAAACAAATGGCAGAGGTTTGATGATCCCTCTAAAGATAGTACATTTTTAGGATCCCTGCTTAAAAGATTGAAAATTTACATACATATCCTCAGTTTCTATGTATTTACATATCGAACACTAAGCTTTCAATTTTTACATACATACAACCTTACATATGCATGAGAAGGTGTCTTTTACTTTTTTAAAGTTAAAATGGTGATATTTTTGATGTGATATGAAAGTTTTGGGCGGCATAAATGTAAAAAGCAGAGTTTAGACGCTACATATGTAAATACATAGGAACTGGTGGCATATACCTCAAAAAAGATAGACATACATAACACTCTAATCTTTAAAATCACTAAAAAAATGCCACTCTTTAACTTTTTAAAAGTGAAGTACACTTTTTCATGCATGGGTTCATGACACTGAAGTGTTATAGATATAAATATCAAAATTGAGGTGTTAGATATGTAAATGCAAAGGAATTGTGTGATATGTATGTAAATCTCCCTAAAAGAACATGCTTTTAAATCAGAAATAGTGAGAAGATAGTTTCTCCCAGAAATATTCTCTAGCTGTCTCTAAATGAAAAGAATGATGATTTCAGTTCAAAAAAAGTAAATTTTACCTTTCAATCAAATGAGTCCTAAAAGATAAAATCAAGGGCTATCTGTATAATTTCTGAATTTATTTCCATGCTTATCCTAACATATTTTTCTAGAATTTAATGGTCTGGCCGAAGAGCTTATCTCAAAATCTATCATAAACTATGCAAAAGCTGTTTCATTTTTTTTCTCATTCCAATGAAATGGTCTTGTTCTGTCACAGGTGTGGATGGCCAGGCAGCCAATGGACAAAGTTGAGCAGGGCTGTTGACCAAAATCTGGCTGTTTATGAGGTAAAAGCTGTGCAGTCACACCCCATTTACTGTTCTAAATAGTATTTTAATTTAAAGAAGCTGCTTTTAGTAATATTGACCAATATGATCTAGAGTCTGCTGCATCAGATGCAAATGGCACCTACCATTATTATTTTGTATTAAATTTACATGTGCCAAAATAGTCACTTCACTGTTCACACACATCATTTTAGCTACAAAGTTTATAGAAGTACTAAATTAGTCTCTAAGAGGACTATTTCATTCCATATTAAAGTAGTACGAAGACAGACTCCGTTTGGAGTAGCTCATCCTCACCGTTTGTAAATTATGTTTGAGCAGCTTATCCGAAAACACAGTTATTTTTTTACGTTAAGGCAAAATGCCGCCTCACCATTTGAAAATTGCGTTTGAGCAGCTTATCCGAAAATGGAATTGGTTTTTTACATTGCAAGCTTTTATATTCTCTGGGATTAAGATGACCCCCCACAAATTTTCATTTCTTTTAAAAGGTGTTTTCATTTGATATCCAATAGAGTTTTAAGAAATCGACATATTTGAATGAATTTAATCGCAAACACACTCCTCATGTGTAATGTCTTGAACCAGGCCATATTTGGGGCTGCTAGCAAAAAGATCTGAGGAGAATTGTGGTCAAATTTAAACTTATTTATAAAATTCAAGCTCGAGCTGAACATATTCTTTAGATGATATTGTTTAGGAGCATAGATGGAGCGAACAATGAATTATTTAAGTTTGTTCATTTAGCAATCGAGTATTCATAAAAGTGTTTGAAATTTATTTAATTTGTAAACGAATGCAATAGATATATATATATATATATATATATATATATATTTCAAAGGAAGGTATTTAGAAACACCATTCATGGTGTTATTCGTTCCCGATGGAATCGAACTTGGGTTAGAGGGGACTTACGCCTTAACTGCTCTACAAACTTGCCACCCTAGGTGCACTCATTTATATATTTCTTTTTTTATATATATATATATATATATAATCTCTATCTCGTGACTTGTACTTTGAAACAGGAAGTGGACAAATGTTTGTCTCCATAGCCACGCCAACGAAGTAGTACCTTAGCATTGAAAGGCCAGGTGTGGAAATGATCTAGCAATCAATCTCATTTTCTGAAGGAAAATTTACATGCATGTCACACAATTCCTATGTATTTACATATTTAACATTAATGTTTTATTCATTTTACATATATACCAATTTACCCAGTGTATTAAAAGGTGTGTTTCACTTTTAGAAATTTAGGTGTTAGATATGTATATATATAGGAATTATGTGGCGCGCCGCGTACTCAGATTAGTTGGTCTGACATCTGCTTGTCAGCTGTAACTCTCCTCTGGCCTGGGGTTCGATTCCCTCCACCGAGAGTGTGGTACTCGAATTGTTAGGCGCATCGGGATGGCTGGGGCTCGTATAATGGCCTCAGACCATTCTTTATATATATATATATATATATATATATATATATCATGAAGACCAGGTCATTTACATGCATACCATGCAGTTCTTGTGTATTTCCGCATCTAATATTTATTTTTTCATATTTATATGCATAATAACTAAATATTTAACATAACATTAAAAATATTAATATTATTATAACTTTTTAAATGTGAAATATATAGGTTTATGGCATTAAAGTGTTATAAATGTAAATATCAAATTTTGATAGATATGTAAATCCATAATAGTTGTATGATATGCATGCAAAATTTTCTTTATAGTAATAATTTCATGGTTTATAGGGGGCATAAAATACGTGCCAATCAAATCTTATGTATTTACATATATGTAATTCTTGGTACCGACAGTCTGACACTGTTTAAGTGTAATTTCTTATTTTTAAAATTATTATTTATCTTTTTTTCTACCCTAAATATTTATTAATTAATATATAATTGGCTGATTTAACAAAATGTCAATATATTTTGTCTCACTCTTCTTTTTATATATATATATATATATATATATATATCATGAAGACCAGGTCATTTACATGCATACCATGCAGTTCTTGTGTATTTCCGCATCTAATATTTATTTTTTCATATTTATATGCATAATAACTAAATATTTAACATAACATTAAAAATATTAATATTATTATAACTTTTTAAATGTGAAATATATAGGTTTATGGCATTAAAGTGTTATAAATGTAAATATCAAATTTTGATAGATATGTAAATCCATAATAGTTGTATGATATGCATGCAAAATTTTCTTTATAGTAATAATTTCATGGTTTATAGGGGGCATAAAATACGTGCCAATCAAATCTTATGTATTTACATATATGTAATTCTTGGTACCGACAGTCTGACACTGTTTAAGTGTAATTTCTTATTTTTAAAATTATTATTTATCTTTTTTTCTACCCTAAATATTTATTAATTAATATATAATTGGCTGATTTAACAAAATGTCAATATATTTTTTAAATTAATTTTTTTCAGTATAAACACTAAAAATTAAAATGAAGTGCATTTTAATAATTAACAATTTTCGTAGCTTCTAATGCAGAGCTATGCATAATTTAAGATAAGTCAATTAATTAAATTTAAATACATACATTTATATATTTAGTATACTTAAGCGAGTTATTTTTTTGAAAATTAAAATTTTATATATTATTATAATTTATGATTAATTTATTTAATAAAAAAATGATTTTTTTTTTTTTCATTTCAAAAGGAATGATCGGAGGCTATTAGACGAGCCTCAGTCATCCCTAGATGTGCTAAATATTTGAGTAGCATAACCCTACACATGTGAGATTTGAACTCATGATCTGAGGGGACATTTGATCTTGAGAGAAGATGCTCTATCTATATATATATAATTTGACATTTAATTTTATCAATTTACATATTTGTTTTAAATATATTAAAATTTTAAATAGTATTGTATTTAAAAGCATCAGTATCATATAGTAAATATTTATTTTTTTATTAATGATAAATAATTTCGGATTGCACATATGCTGAAATTCATAATTTAAGCCATAAAAAAGAAAAAAAAAACATATTTTTAATCATTGTCTTTGAAACTAATTATGAAAGTAGTTTGTTTTGATAGTTAATAATTGAAGTATAGAGTACAATAAGTGTTGTTTTAAGTGATACCAAACGCATGTGAAGCTCGCTCTGACTCTTCGGTAGTGCAGCATAGCATAAATCTCTTGGTGTCAGAGGTTTGATCCCGCCTGAATGCATCTACCTTGCAGTGCGGGATCGAGTGGTTTGACACATGAGGGTGATTGGGGGCTTGTATCTTAATCTCCGACCATTCTTTTATGAAAAAAAAAAGTGAAACCAAATGCATGGAATTGATAGAAATTACAATAAGAGGCACTTACATATATATCACCCAATTTCTATTTATTTATATATGTGATATCTATACTTTGTTTTTTCTTATATTTATATCAATCAAATCTTTTATATCACATAAAAAAATATCATCATTTTAATTTAAAAAAATTAAAATATAGCTTTTCATGCAAAGATTAGGTAAATATTGAAGTTTATTTGTTAGATATGTAAATTCATCAGAATTGTGGACTATGCATGTAAATGCCCCTTTTTTTGCCTTTCAACTGAAGTGGGACCCACTTGGTTGACACGTGAGTCAAAGACCATCCCATGTGGTCAAATGTATTGGGTTTGGTGTCTTTGACAGTTGACAGTTGACCACAGACCATGGTTCGGTCAACTTGGGTGAACCAAATTTCCCAAGTGGCCAAACATAACTATCTCATCATGAAAAAGCTAAGTTATTAAGTCCATGCTTGTATTTTTCAAAAGGTAAATTAGGTACATGTGATGTTAGCTCTTCCTCTTTTGAAATAGATATTTACATGCATGCCACCCAATTCTTATCTATTTACAAATCTAACACCTAAACATTGGTTTTTTACATTTATATCACTCAAATCTCTTACATCACATCAAAAACACAGTTCTTTATACTTTAAAATAGCGAAATACATATTTTTTTTCATTTATAACTAAGGCGACATATATGTAAAAGTTGAAGTTTAGGTGTTAGATTTGTAAATACAAAAAAATTAAGTGGTAGATATGTAAATCTTCCTTTTAGAATAGACATTTACATACATACCACGCAATTCTTATATTTAAATATTTAACATCTACACTTTTATATTTACATGTATAACACTTAGATCTTTTCCATTACATTAGAAACAAAACTCTTACAACTTTATATAAGTGAAATACTCCTTTTTTTAACACTATAGAGTCTTATAATATTGATATCAACTTTAGGTTTTTGCAATGTAAATACATAAGAATTGTATGGCATGTATGCAAATTTCCCTTTTATTTATCTTTAATTATTGGTATTTTATATATATATATATATATATATATACACACACACACACACACACACATGTGCACAACTGGTGGTCTGTTGGATGACAGCTTAGGTATAAGACCCCTCAGATCATGGTTCAAATCTCCTCTGGCGACTTGAGCCTTAACGAGGTGGTACTTGAATTGTTCAACATATTAAAAGTGGCTGAAGGCTCTTACAATAGCCTCTGTCCATTTCTGTTATATATATATA